GGCTGCTTCTCCTATACATTGAAGCTCACTTGATGGTGTCACTGGACACGTGGTACCTCAAGCCAGAAACTTTGAAGTTAGAGAATTATCTTTTTTTTTTTCCTTTGAGATACGGTCTCGCTGTGTTGCCCAGGCTGAAGTACAGTGGCACTATCATAACTCGCTGTAGCCTCAAAGTCCTGGACGCAAGCAATCTTGCCTCCTTAGCCTCCTGGGTAGCCAGGACTACAGGTGCGAGTGACTGTGGCCGCCTAATTTTGTCATTGTTGAGCCAGGGTTTCACTACGTTAGCCAGGTTGGTCTCGAACTCCTGGGCTCAAGCGATCTTCCCACTTCCTTAACTCTTCCCTGACTCTCACATGTCATCCATCACCAAGATAGGATGACCATTCTACTCCTAAATGATTCTCAAATCTGTCCCTTCCTCTTTATTCTCAATGTCTCCCTTTAGCTTAGACTCTGAATTTCTCTTCTGGATGAGGACAGCAGCCATCTTTTTCCTTCTGTCCCTAGACACAGTGAGTGATGATAGTGCAATCTGCTGTGTTGCAAATATTACAGTAAGTCTCAGTAGCCCAACTAACGTGATGTGGGTGGAGAGGCAGCGACAATCATAAGACTGGACCAAAAATAACATAGCCAGAGGCTATTTTGTGAAAAATCACATAAGTTTCATGGATAAAAAGGTGACTTACTACCAAGTTACTCGTATATATGGTTAAAAGAAAGTTTAAAATGCAAAGGAAATGACGATGATGACGCTTTTGCAAGATCTTTGGCACTATCCTTTGATTTGTACCTGCAGATACCGCAATACATCCTAGTATGAAGTGATTGTGCCCTAGCTTGATCTGAAGTATGAAGATTGACCAGGAAATAAATATTTCATATATTTATTATTTCATGGCACTTCCTAGCCTCCCTCACCCCACTTTCTTTGAGACAGGGTCTTGCTTTGTAGCAGAGGTGCAAACACGGCTCACTGCAGCCTCAACCTCCCAGGTTCAAGTGATCCTCCTGCCTCAGCCTCCCAAGTAGCTGGGATTACAGGTGTGCACCACCACACCCAGCTAACTTTTGTGTTTTTTGTAGATGGTTTTTTGCCATGTTGCCCAGGCTGGTGTGGAACTCCTGGGCTCTATCAAGCCTCGGCCTCCCAAAGTGCTGAGATTACTAGATTATGGGTGTGAGGCACCACACCTGGCCCCGTTGCCCCTGATTTTTAAGAAATGAGTTTGCATTTCAAATTATGTTTCATGCACGACTTCGTGTCACAAAATATTTAAGTTGTTTTTCTCCAGTTTTAAGTAATCCCAAACATTTTCAGTTGATTCAAAGGGTCTTGGAATATTTAGCAGGTTTGCATACATAATTGTATTAAATGAAATTTCATGCTATTTATGTTGTGTATTACATAACTCTGTCTCCTGTACTTGCATTTCCTCAAACATTCTGTTCTTCCTTGTCTTCATACATGTTGTCCCTCTGCCTACAAGGTCCTGCTTCTTGTCCGTCTCCAAATTCACGTTTGAGGTTCAGTTCACATGCATCTCCTGCAAGTCACCATCTCTGTTGCTTTCTATCCTGCACAGCCACAGAACTGCCCTTCATTACTGAGTTTTTCTATGTTTATCTTCCCCACCAACCTTGGGAGCACAAGTATTTTAGTGTTCTCTGTAAACTTAAGATCTAGCATAATTTCTAGAACATAAAAAGCACTTAAGGGGCCAGGTGCAGTGGGATGCTTGTAATCCCAGTGTTTTGGTAGGATGAGGCAGGAGGATGGCTTGAGGCTAGGAGCTCGAGACCAGCCTTGGAACATAGTGAGACTCTATCTGTACAATTTTTTTTTTTTGAGACGGAGTCTCGCTCTCTCGCCCAGGCTGGAGTGCAGTGGCCGGATCTCGGCTCACTGCAAGCTCCACCTCCCGGGTTTACGCCATTCTCCTGCCTCAGCCTCCCGAGTAGCTGGGACTACAGGCACCCGCCACCTCGCCTGGCTAGTTTTTTGTGTTTTTTTAGTAGAGACGGGGTTTCACCGTGTTAGCCAGGATGGTCTCGATCTCCTGACCTCGTGATCTGCCCGTCTCGGCCTCCCAAAGTGCTGGGATTACAGGCTTGAGCCACCGCGCCCGGCCACAATTTTTTTTTTTAATTAAGTGGGTTGGGATTACAGGCTTGAGCCACCGCGCCCGGCCACAATTTTTTTTTTTAATTAAGTGGGTGTAGTGGCATGCCCCTGTAGTCCTAGCTACTTGGGAAGCTGAAGGGGGAGAATTGCTTGAGCCCGGGAGTTCAAAGTGGCAATGGGTTTTGATTGCACCACTGCCCTCTAGCCTGGGCAACAGAGCAAGAGACTGTTTCTTACAAAAACAGAACAAAACAAATAGCACTTAAGAAATAAATTGCTGAATGAATAAATGAATGGTATTAAATACATCATGGAATCTGATTGGCAGTGGTAAGCAATTGGTAAGTCAGTTGAAGCCAAAATACAGATAATAGCTAATTGTAACTGAATGCCTACTATATGCTAGGCACCAGACAAAGTCATTTCATGGAGGTATTTTTTTTTAATTGATATAGGCTGGGTGCGGTGGCTCATGCCTGTAATCCCATCACTTTGGGAGGCCGGGGTAGGAGGATTGCTTGAGCCCAGGAGTTCAAGACCAGCTTGGGCAACATGGCAAATCCCTGTCTCTATTAAAAAAAAAAATACAAAAGTTACCTGAGCATGGTGGCACGTGCCTGTAGTCCCAGCTACTCAGGAGGTTGAGGTTGGAGGATTGCTTAAGCCCGGGAGGTTGAGGCTGCAGTGAACCAAGGTTGCGTCATTGCGCTCCAGCCTGGGTGACAGTGAGACCCTGTCTCAAAAAAAAAAAAAAATTGATACATAACCCACATACCATAAAATTCACCTTTTTAAAGCATTCAATTCAGTGGTTTTTAAAGTATATTCACAGTTTGGGAAAAGAAACCTTGTACCCATTAGCAGTCACCCCTTATTCCCCCCTCTTCTCAGCACTTGGCAATCACTAATCTCCTTTCCACATGGATTCGCCTATTCTGGACGTTTCATGTGTACGGGAATCATACAATATGTGGCCTTCTGTTTCTGCCTTCTTAGCAAAATGTTGCAAGGTTCCCCGTGCAGTAGCATGTATCACTACCCCACTCCTTTCCATGACTAATATTCTGTTGTATGGATATACCACACTCTGTTTATCCATTCACCAGCTCATGGACATCTGGATGGTTTCCACTTTTGGTCTATTATTAATCATACTGCTGTGAACATTATGCACAAGATTTTGTGTGGGAGTATATTTTTGTTTATCCTGGCCATGTACTTAAGGAGTGGAATTGCTGGGTCATATGGTAACTCTATGCTTAACTTTTCAAGGAACTGCCAGACTGTTTTTTCAAGGGGAAGCATCATTTTACATTCTCGTCAGCAATCTATGGGGCCTCTAGTTTCTCCACATCCTTGTCCACACTTGTTACTTTTTGATGATAGCCATCCTAGTGAGCATGAAGCCATATCGCATTAGTTTCCATTTCCTTAATGATGTTGAGCATCTCTCCATGTACTCATTGGCCATTTGAATAACTTTTTTGGAGAGATGTCTATGCAGATCCCTGGCCCGTTTTTGAATTGTGTGTTTTTTAATTCCGTTGTAAGAGCTCTTTATATACTCAGGATACTAGATTTTCTCTTTCTTAATCCTCACAGTCACCCTGCTGAAACAGGTAGCTTTTTGTCTCTTTTACAGATGGAGACTAGAGCCTGGAGAATTTTAGTAAGAGGTGTGATTGAGTCTAGATCTGTGATTCTCCAAAGCCTGTGCCCTTTCCACTATTTTATGCTGCTTCTTGGTGATAGAGTTTTAACTGACCGTGAGGTTTAAAGAGGGCCACACCAGTGGGTGGTTAATATAAAGATGAATGTTATGGAATTGAGACCAGGATGTTAGAAACACGATCAACCGATTGCTGAAGTCAATGGCAGTAGGTCTCAGAGTCATTTGTAAGTAAGTTGGATTATATGACATATAAAGTTGCTTCTTACTCCAAAATTCTCTAATTTAATACGCCTTTTTGTTTTGCCAGCAACAACAAAAGTAATGGTCAGGAAAAGCCAATTCCCTAAGTATCAGGACAGAAGGAAGAATCATCCACTCCCGTAAATCTCTCTGAGGCCTCGGAACAGGGCACTCTAAGAATTTTTGTCCCAATTTATCAATGGAAAAAAACTGATCTGCTATCACAGAATTTTTCAAGAAAAGTAATAGCTTCTGCCCGCAGTACAATCACCACCTCCCTTTACACATCATTAACAATTATAAATATGAAAACCTGGGTTCTCTCCTTTGTCCTGGGTAAATCAGAAAGATGCTATCTTAAGCAAAGACCAACTTACTACCAAGAGGCTTCCTGGGTATGGAAACAATTATTTTGTCCCAAATGCAATTTGCCTAAAAACAGATAAAGTTTTAGTGTCATCCCCTTTGTGCTACTTTGTTATCTCCAACACTAGATGATTTCAAAGGAGTCATTTAAAAAAACTTGTGGGCTGGGCATGGTTGCTCACGCCTGTTATCCCAGCATTTTGGGAGGCTGAGGTGGGTGGATCACCTGAGGTCAGGAGTTCAAGACCAGCCTGGCCAACATGGTGAAACCCCGTATCTACTAAACAAACAAACAAAAATACAAAAATTAGCAGAACATGCTGGTGAGTGCCTGGAATTCCAGCTACTTGGAAGGCTACGGCAGGAGAATCACTTTAACCCAGGAGGCGGAGGCTGCAGTGGGCCGAGATCACGCCACTGCACTCCGGCCTGGGTGACAAGAGTGAAACTCTGTCTCAAAAAACCCCAGAAAACTTGTACACTTGCACAAAACTGCAGAGGCCATGGAACAAAAAAGTAAACTGAGTTTTGTGAGTCATTAACGAAGCATAGACATAGTATTGAGAAGAAGTTACAGAAAACTCAAAGAGAATCTTTTGAATGAAATATTTTATTGAAAATAGTTAATTTAAAAATCTATACATCATTTTTCAAAAGCCGTGTTACTGATAAAAATATCAAACTTTCCAAACAAGGATCACTTCTGTTTCATTCACCCTTGCCAAAGTGTCTCCTTAATTTTTCCAGATGGACGTTTTGTGAGTCTCTAGTGCCCTCTGGTGAAACACCATGAAACTGCCCAGAAACGTAATTCAGGCTCTGCTCACGACGGAAGGTGAACTAGCTGAATGAGCGCCTGTTCCAATGGGACAGGTTGTGATGCGCTGCCTTCTCCCACAGCTCAGGAAAACCGCAGCCTCTGTGCGTGCGTCTCTCTCTTCAGGGAAAGTATTCTTCCCACGGACACTCCGCCAAGCTCACTGCAAAATACCTTCTTCCTAAGTTTTTATCTTCACTGTCTTCTAAAAAACAAAAACCTGTTGATACAGACGGGATAAATAATGAAAGCCTCCAGGTCATTCAGGACCAGGCCCCTACTCCCCACAAATGTTAAAAGGACAGCAAAAATGATAAAGCAAGCTGAGCCTGCAAGAAAAGCTTTCCTAGTGGTCCCTGGTTCTTCACCCTGTCTTCATAATAATCAACACCATCACTCTAGTCAACTCAGGTTTCCATTTTCTGGCAGCAGATGACCTTGTCCTCAGGTTTCAAGGAGCACACCTCTTCTAAATGGGGGCCATTTCCAAAAGTAGACATCAACAGAGTCTCAGTTCATTCTCCAGACCAAACACTTTCGACTTAAGATTCTTCAGTTCTCCTTGTATCTTATGTGCCCGTCTATTGCTGTCACGGACCTCACACAGAATGGCAAGATCCTGGTTTGCCCGGACATTAATTGTTGCCTAGGGATTTGAAAACAAACAAAAAAAAAGAGAAAGAAATGATTATGGCATATGCCAGGGGAGAGATGTCGGTCAAAAAGACACAGCTCTGTTAGCTCCTTTTTATGAGATTTTGAGTACACAGGATAAATGCCATCCTTAGTTTGTTCAGTGGCTATAACTAAAGAAGGAAAATGTAGAATTAAAGCGGAAATCCCATGAACATCCTTCCCGTCCAATAAAGGAGCCTTGAGCTAGAGATCAATGAACAATGGAAGAGGAGTAAGACAGGCCAGGATAAGCAACACTGCTGGTAAATTTGTCACAGAATGAAAGCAGGCCTCTCCTCTTTTCTGTAACTAAGCTTGTTTGGAGCTCAGGCTAACTGGCTAAATCTCATGAAGAAGGCTCTTGAGGCAACTTGTATTCTAAAGAACTGTGTCTGCCAGAAAAAATCACTCTATCAATCAATTACCCACTTTCCCCAACTGCAAAATAGACATGATTGTTTAATCTGCTTCTTGAATTAGGAGGGATGACAATTTCCGTTACGTTTAGCTCACATCGAAGTATTAATGATGCAATCATTCAGTGATTTCAGGGTATTTTTATTTTCCCTCTAGCATGTACTTGAACTGATTTTCAGGGAGGCTTAAAGACGGTGATCTGTTAGTGTCTGTCAGCACGGAAACAACACATCCTTCTTTTGAGGAGTCTCGTGACCACGTTCCCTCACTTACGCCTCTTTTCTCCCTTGTGGCAATCCAGGCCCAGCAATTACCTTATACAGCATTTGCTCCAAGTCCTTCAGTTTCTGTCGGAGAACCTTAATATCTGTCTTAAAGCCTTCTACTTCCAAGATCCGTCGACGCTCCAGTGCCTCATAGCGTCTTGTCATTACCTGTAAACGCTTCCCCATCTTGTTAGTGCGATCCTAAACACGGGGACGGGGAGGCATTTATGAAGCTGAGGGAAGCGTTTTCCCCAGCCGTCTGCGCTTCCTACTCCGTTATAAATGGAAGATAATTTTGTACCTTGAAGATCTCTCTCCTCATTCCCTCTTCCTCACGAATTCGGGCAAGTTCCTCTTCTAAGGAAATGCACTGCTCTTGGTACATACCGGACAGCTTTTTCTCTTGGACTAACTTATCTTTTAGGGACTGCAAGTCAAAGGGACAAAAACTATGAACACTCAGTTCTACAGTTTAGGTAATTCAAGTAATGCTTAGGCAAAGAAAGAAAGAAAGAAAAGAAGGGATTTCCAGAGGTACAAAGTGAGTTAAGGAACCAGACGACAAGGAACTTTGAGGAACATCTGAAAATCTCCTACTTCTAGACCAGTCTCGTAAACCCCGTTTCTAAAGTGTACAAAGTAGAAGTTCAAACAAATATTTTTGGCTCTGGGAAGAGTCAGATAATGGACCTCAGAAGCTGTCCCAAGTAAGACATTATAATATATGTTTCTAAAAAGGAAGAATTGTTAACAACAACACTTACTATACATGCTGTATTAAGCAGTTAAAATGATCCTTTAAAAACCCAAATCAGATCATGTTACTTCTTTCACACAGTCCTTCAAAGGCCTAACACTGTTGAGGGCTAAGTTCACACTCTGTACCGTGATGCACACGGCCCTCCACGACTGGCTGCTGCCAACCCTGGCTTCTTAAAGGGCATCCACTTCCTCCTTATTCACTCCTCTACACCCACGACGACAGCCGTCTATTTCCTTGAACATACTCCAGGGCGTATAAACTTGCTTTTCCCTCTGCCAGGGATGTTCTTCCTCAAGGTCTGTATGGCAAGCTTAGTCCCATTTTTCAGGTCTCAGCAAAAACACCAGATATGAGACAGTGTCCCTGTGCATTCCTTCTATTAATACAACAGACTTCCAGCAACTACACATAATCTTCATGTAATTCTTTTACTCCCTTAACACCACATTTTTATAATCTATAATTTTCTTTCTTTCTTTTTTTTTTTTTGTTTGAGAACGGAGTCTTGCTGCGTGTTACTGGGACCTGCAGTGCATCGCGCGATCTCAGCTCGACTGCATACCTCTGCCCATCCGCAGGTTCGCGAGTCTCCGGTGCCGTGGACAGATCTCTACCTCAAGGTAGTCTGGATTACAGGCGCCCGCTCACCGGCGAAAAAATAACACGCCCTGGCCTAATTTTTTAGTATTTTTAGTACAAGACAGGGTTTCGCACTGTGTTGGCCAGGCCTGTCGCGAATCTGACGGCCTAGGTGTGGATCGGCCCACCTCGACGCTCCTAAAGCCTTTTTTTTGTTTTTTTTTTTTGTTTTTTTTTTTTTTTTTTTGAGACGGGAGTCTGCGCTGCTGGCGGCCCAGGGCTGGAGTGCGGTGGCCGGATCTCGGCTCACTGCCAGAGCTACCCGCCTCCGGTTCTACGCCAGTTCTCCTGCTCTCAGCCTCCCAGAGTACTGGAACAGGCGGGCGCCCGCACACCTCGCCCGGCTAGGTTTTTTGTATTTTTGTAGTAGAGACGGGGTTTCACCCCCGTGTTCGCCAGGACGGTCTCGATCTCCTGACCTCTGATCCGCCCGTCTCGGCCTCCCAAAGTGCTGGGGATTACAGGCTTGAAGCCACCGCAGCCCCGGCCCTTTTTTTTTTTTTTTTGAGACGGAGTCTCACTTTGTCGCCCAGCCTGGAGTGCAGTGGCATGATCTTGGCTCACTGGCAACCTCTGCCCTCCTGGGGTC